AGACGAATGCTGCACTTTGTTTTAATTATCATGAGATTTTCATCAATTGCATCTGTGCTCGGTGCAACTGTGTATGTTTTGTATTTTGGAAATCTACTTCTTTTCTCTTTTTTACTTATGTGAATGCAATTATGTGAACTTATGTGAACCTGCAATTTTCATGTTCTTTTCTGTACCCCCCCCCCACTATAATGCCTGTATGGGCGCTGTGGGTACTAATTAAATAAATAAATAAATAAATCATGAGATGGGTGTCATGTTAGAACACGAGTGCATGCCACAGTCAAGACGCCAATACATTTTGACGTGTCGCGGTGCGCGTGCTCGCCGGCGTTCGTTTTGTCGCGTCACGCCGGCGTTGCAGCGCCTGGCGCCACTTCTGCCATATACTCGCAGGCACGCACCGCGCTGCGTTGCTTTGACGCATGCGTGTTTCAGTGCGTCCTGCATCCCTCCGTCACTAAAGGAGGGAGACGCAGTGTTGTCTGGGCAACGCATCGGCGCGCATTGCAGCATGTCGCATTTCGCACCTGTTGCCGTCAGGCCGCGCCGACGGACGCTGGTAGTGCCTGGCATCAGACTATAAGTGTTCGCGTTTTGCTAACGTAGCGTCGATGTGCCCAGCGTGCGCGCGCGTCAACGCTACTTTGGAGTATAATGGGCCCTTCATGATGCGCTCGCGGCCGTTTTGCTAGCTCCACATATACCAAATTTGGTGTTCCGTGACGTCAATGAATGGCGAACTATATGACTTGTGCAAACATGATAATCCTGACACGCGTTTCATGTAGGAACATGACAACATACAACGCTCATAGCGTGCTCGCGGCTGTTTTGCTAGCTCCACATATACTAAATTTGGTATCACGTGACGTGAATAGATATACAAGGTAAACGACACATCCAAACATGATGATAATGACATGGAAGTCATGTACGGCATCATTTACCTCCACCTCGTAACGTTGTGCTGATTTTAAAATGACATATCACACTTCTCCTTCGTGCTTCGCATGTCATCGATTCCCACTCTACGTAGGATCTGCCAATTTTTTTTCTGACCGGTAGTAACACACGCATTTCGGCGTTCATGTGGACCGGTGTATTCATTCGTTTAACATTGGGCCTTATCCCACTGCTGAAATGTATCTCGGAGGCCACGTAGAAAAAAGCGCGTGGTTGAGACCTGCTCCGCCAAGTGGCGCAACAATCGCACTTGCTCACTAAGAAAAGCGTCTGCTACTCTAATCAACTCAGTCTAATAATAGTTATCCCGACCGTGAATTCGCCTTATCTTAGGTAAACTTTCAGATATAATATGTATCCAATATATAACCATTAACTCGAACCAGAACATTCTATTTCGCGCCTGTTTTGTTTTTATGACACTGAATATTACCGGAAATGAGCGCTCAACCGAAAGTGCTTGGAAGAAAAACAGGGGTGTCTCTCACTGCTCGTGCCACTTGCAAACTTCCATTCGAATTCATCAAGACTCGGTTCTGTGAAAGTCGTACAGTTTTCATCGAGAGACATTTGAACTGCTAACATATGCTTTCTCCCTGTCATTAAAGGATACAAAAAAAAATCGGCCTATTCCACGTAACTGGGATTCGACGTTATGCGAAGCATGCAGAGGGAATGTGGCCGTGTTGAATTTTTTTTTTGTTCAGCAACACGTCTTGAAAGGACACTTTAAATTTATATATATACAATAGATGTTTATAACACTAATTGTTAGCACTTGCTCAAAGATGTCAACTGGAACATGCGCATCAGCAAAACCAGAAGCTTATATGAAGCGCTGATGCTGGCCATGGACACTGCTATATTAATCGACTTCAGAGCATGACACCTCACCACAATTGATTTTAGCCTGACATGACGACTGCATCAAACATATGTAATGTTCATGAAATTGGGCATGCAGTACTGCAACCACTATGATGTCTCACGAAGATTGCCGTCCATTTGAAAAGTATTTCCTAGACCTGGCGTAGCTGTGTGGTAGAATGCTAGACTGCCACGCAGAATGCTTGGGTTAGATTCCTGCTGGGACCCTGAAGTTCATTATTTGCATTCGTTTGGGGGTCAGCGTTGCCAATGTCGGGCTTTTCTTAACACTGACATTTATTCTATACTTTAGTTGGGTCGACGCTACCGATGTCGGGTATTGTTTAATGCTGACGCGTTAGAATTGCCCATGCGTGTTCTCGTCGTTCCTGGGTAGATACTAAGTGTCAATCACCTGTGGCACATACCTGCATACCAGTGACACATAAACGCCCGTGGGTATATGCCACTGTCTGACGGGAAGTGTTTGACGCCGCACTCGACGGGACTGTGACATTATTCAGGTCTTGACCAGTGCCTCATATTCGTCAAACCATTTTACCTCCCTTCCTAGTTTTGGTTCACGCCAAGTTTAGAGGGTGATCATGAGAGCCCCCAAACGTGAGTGGATAGATAGATAGATAGATAGATAGATAGAATAGATATAGATAGATAGATAGATAGATAGATAGATAGATAGATAGATAGATAGATAGATAGATAGATAGATAGGTAGGTAGGTAGGTAGGTAGGTAGGTAGGTAGGTAGGTAGGTAGGTAGTAGGTAGGTAGGTAGGTAGGTAGGTAGGTAGGTAGGTAGGGTAGGTAGGTAGGTAGATAGGTAGGTAGATAGTAGGTAAGATAGGTAGGTAGATAGGTAGGTAGATAGGTAGGTAGATAGATAGATAGATAGGTAGATAGATGATAGATAGGTAGGTAGATAGATAGGTAGGTAGATAGGTAGATAGGTAGGTAGATAGGTAGTAGGTAGGTAGGTAGGTAGGTAGGTAGGTAGGTAGGTAGGTAGGTAGGTAGATAGGTAGGTAGGTAGGTAGTAGGTAGGTATGTAGGTAGGTAGGTAGTAGGTAGGTAGATAGGTAGATAGGTAGATAGGTAGGTAGATAGGTAGATAGGTAGATAGGTAGATAGGTAGATAGGTAGATAGGTAGGTAGGTAGGTAGATAGGTAGGTAGTAGGTAGGTAGATAGGTAGGTAGGTAGGTAGGTAGGTAGGTAGGTAGGTAGGTAGGTAGGTAGGTAGGTAGGCAGATAGTAGATAGGTAGGTAGGTAGGTAGGTAGGTAGGAGGTAGGTAGGTAGGTAGTAGGTAGTAGGTAGTAGGTAGGTAGATAGGTAGATAGGTAGATAGGTAGGTAGATAGGTAGATAGGTAGATAGGTAGATAGGTAGATAGGTAGATAGGTAGGTAGGTAGGTAGATAGGTAGGTAGTAGGTAGGTAGATAGGTAGGTAGGTAGGTAGGTAGGTAGGTAGGTAGGTAGGTAGGTAGGTAGGTAGGTAGGCAGATAGGTAGGTAGGTAGGTAGGTAGGTAGGTAGGTAGGTAGGTAGGTAGGTAGGTAGGTAGGTAGGTAGGTAGGTAGATAGGTAGATAGGTAGATAGGTAGGTAGATAGGTAGATAGGTAGATAGGTAGATAGGTAGATAGGTAGGTAGGTAGGTAGGTAGGTAGGTAGGTAGGTAGGTAGGTAGGTAGGTAGGTAGGTAGGTAGGTAGGTAGGTAGGTAGATAGGTAGATAGATAGATACGCTCAAAGTCGCCGAAGTTCATTAAGAAATGCATCGCATTTTAAAGAAAACCAGGCCTGCGCGGACGGCGCAGTACAGTCACAGCGAAAGCTGGACGAGCGGCCTTTCAGAGCATTTTCAAAACACTCAGCAAGCACACTAGCTTGGTACCCACTAGGGCATTAATAATAAACTTAGCCGGCATTCGCTATGCTATTTTTTATCATTCTTCTGAGAAGCGTGCTATCCGCTAAACACTTCCAAGGAATTTTGTGCCAATTGTCCATGCAGTGGCTGACTACAATGAGGAATTTGGCTGAAGTGGGTATGCGCCACACAGTTAATGGGGAAACAAGAACAAACCTTTGTAATAGGTTGCAGCATTGGACGGCCCACTCGTTGCGCTATTCGCATTATGCGACGATTGGTTGTTCTTTCGCTGTTTTAAAACGCTCTATAAGTCGTAATAACGCGATTGCTTTCCCGACATCAAGCCTGACTAAGGCAAGTTTGCTACCAAGTCACAAGCACCAGCGTATCTCAGTGTTAGAATACTGCGCTGGCACTCAGTGGACCCGAGTTCGAGCCCCACTGTGTCTTTGGTGCTAGGTTTGCCAACAAGTCACAAGCAACGCGTCGCTGAAAATGTCGTGACCACTTCTGAGTAGCGTCGCTATTATTTCATAATGATGGAGGGCGCGTAACTGTATTACAGCAGATGGTCCTTCCTTCTCCGAGTCAGGGGCATTTTCGGGATATTAGGTCTACATTATCGGTGCAATTAAACGAACCTTAGGGTAACCCGTATCGTTGCAGCAGAAATTATACCAATTGTTTTGCGTACACTTCGTCGACGCACCGACCATGCGGCTGTTTCGCTTGTAGGTAATAATATATGGGGTTTAACGTGCCGAAACCAGGCTATGAGTTACTCCCCTTCCCCCTGGTAACGCCAATGATTAACACGTAAATGTCCACACCTAAAACAGAAGAGTTTAAGATGATCGCAGAGCAAGCGCTCTGCACTGCCCCGTCTTCTCCCAATATATCGTTTTCATGATTGGGAATCAAGCTAGCTTTCCTGCGATGCAGTTAGGCCGACTAACAGCAGCTGGTCACTGCTGCAAACTGCTTGTTCAAGCGTATACTTTGCTTTCACCGTGACGCAGGAAATGTAGGCTCAGCTTTCTTGACATAAACACGCGTATCACACACGCCCCGGCACACGCAACCGCGGGGCTTCCTCTCCGCTTGAATGACGACAGGTGCCGCCGTTCGTTGGGCGAGAATACGCAGACGGAAAGCGCGTTCGTGGATTGTGAAGAGGGTGTGTGCTATAAACACAACTGTCATGTCCGCAGACACAAACAACTGCATCGACGCGAAAACACCGTAGTGAAAAGGCGTAAATGCCTTCTTCTGCGCAGACGTTCCGCTGGCACCCAGCTGCGTGAAAGCTTCCAACATCACCTCGACCACGGCCACCATCAGCTGGCTGCCGAGCAACTCCAACTTCAGCCACGTGGTGGCCGTCAACAGCGTCGAGATGAAGTCGCTCAAGCCGGGCACCTTTCGCCACCTGGTGACGGGACTGGCGCCCAACACCTCGTACCGGGTGTCGGTGCGCGCCAAGCCCGGCCGGCTGCTCATGTCGTCGGCCGCGGCCGCGCTCACGGGTGCCACCTCGTCGGCCGACGAACACGCCAAGGGCGCCGAGCCACGCAAGCTCGCCAGCCTGCTCACCTCGTTCGTCGACTTCCGGACGCTGCCCAAAGGTGCGCTTTATAGAATACGGCCCTTCCTATACAGTGCGGAGCACTGCGACCGCAACGCTGCTTCGGTCAGGTGGGAGGTAGTCCTCCGCAGCTCCCTTCTCTTTAAGACTTCCAGTAGGTCCGCCGGGTGACCAGTAGGCCTGGCCTCGCGGTCCCGGCGGTTTAGTAGCCCGCTGCTCTTTAATGCGCGCCTTCCAAGTCCTCAATAAAGTTTGGCACCAACCATAGATTCACCATCTACGAGGGCCAGGGCTGTTGACGTCTAATGTGTCATCTCGCTTGTGACTCTCGCAAACCCTTGACTAGCATCGATGAAATACTTTGTTGAGGTCCGGAACAACTATACCCTCGTTTTATTGAAGATTGCGGGCCACTCCTAAGTAGGGACAGGGAGGCCCAGTCTCACCGCCGTGTATTTGTAATGTGACAAAATAATTGTCATTCGGACTTGCTTACGTTCATTTATCTAAAAATCGACCACTGGCCCGTTTTTCTTTTCCTCGCAAAGCGTGTTCTCAAAGCTAGCTATACCGGAATATATACCTATATATTACCAATAAATGTTAGTCTTCTGTGTCCCAACTCTAAGATATGACTGTGAGAGGCGCCGTAGTCAAGGGCCGAGACAATTTCAGCCACATAAGTTTTTTTTTAAGAAGTCCAAGAACACTGGCGTCCAACATTTTGCTCACAGCGAAATGTGGCCTGAATTCTTTCCGCAACCTTAGAGTCAGCATGTCCCGCTGCCGTAGAAGCAGCCCCATAGCCACAAGAGCACCGCGGTGGGCGAGCATGCTATCTGGTGGTCACAAAAACTGAAAACTGGTTGATGTACTTCCGTGAACAAAAGTATACGGACCACAGAAGCGCGAGCGGAAATCGCCATTTACGCCATCTGGTTGGGAGCCTTCTGCTTTCGGGAGTACTGCTTTGCTGGAATAGCTGTGGCAAGCATTACTCTGACGGAGTTCATCAGCGAAATGCTCTTGACAGCAGACGGCTCGCCACTAGATGGCTCAAAGAGCAAAGATATACGCACACAATCGTCCGTAATGGTCCGTATAGTTTTGCGCACTAGTGTACGTCGTATCGCACTTTTACGAGTTAGTTTATTTCATTGTTTCAGAAGGGAAGGATTGCGCAGACAACACAGCGCACCATAGACAGAGACGACGACGCCTGCGCAAGCTGTCGTCTCCTTCTGTACTCTGCTGTGCCTTTTGCGCACAACTTCCTTTCCCAAAGTACGGCGCATCATTTTAGCGGCCACCGATGTCATGTTTTCGATGTCATGTTTTCGATGTCATGTTTTCGATGTCATATTTCAACATGACATCGCGTTTACTGGTTGGTACACGGCTGAGGTCAGGGCACTTCACGTTGCCGAACGCTTGTGAAACTGCGCAGGCATTCCGGACCCGCCGGTGGACGTCCAGGTGGAGGCGGGTCCACAAGAAGGCACCGTGCTAGTCACCTGGCTTCCAGTCACCATCAACGCGTTGGGCACCTCCAACGGGGCCGCCGTCACCGGATACGCCGTCTACGCAGCCGGCAAGAAGGTCACCGAGGTCGATTCACCCACCGGTACGTGGCTTGCACATCACCATAGAGGCAGGAAGACAGACAACCTTATTAACTTAGAAGGGCACTAGCTTGGGCTATAATATATATAGTCGGTAGCACTTTATGGAACAGTTACTTGCTCACTGTCCAAAAACCCACGTGACCTTCTCGGAGCGAGTGATCAGGTCGCATCATTTCATCACGTTATGTCATTGTGACGACATGCTATTACGTCACGTGAATACCTAATCAATTGACATCGTCGACCCTCTTAAGAGAGGTCGATCCCGCAGATATATAGCGCAACACTACGTGATGTTTGGAAAGCTTCTGTGGAGAGGGACAGAAACGTTGCATACCACTGAGAACGTCGAGGGGAACTAATGTGTCTCTCCCTAAGCGGCCTGGTATGTGTTGTAAGCAGCTCGATCCCTGACTGCACGTAACCCGAGGCACTGCCAAGTGCGCAGCAGTCTTGCGGCTTCAAGTGCTGCAAAAGGATGTAACATGCTGCCGATCGCTTTTACGTGTCAAGATACATCGAGAAAGCTTACAAAGGAGTGAATGCGTTGTGGTGTGTTCTCCAGGTGACCACGCCCTTCTGGACGTGGCGTCCCTGCTGCCGTTGCACACGCGTGCCATCACGGTGCGCACGCGGGCAGGCGACTCGCTCTCCGTTGACTCGCTGCCCGTCGTCGTGCCCGACGAGTACGTGCACCCCACCCGGACGTCCAAGGTGCGTACGCCCCCTGAATATTTGTAGATATGAACTTTAACCAAAGCGATGGGCAGATTAGAGGCCCTTACCCTCCTAGCCACCGCTCCTCGCCGGGTCTGACACAGGGTCGCCAGCTAGCTTCTCAGGGTCAGATCGTGTGCCCCAGAGTCGATCGAGACTGGTCTCTCGAGGCAGACTTAGGTCATGTGTGGTAGTGGCAGAGTGCCTCCTCGCCAAAGACTCACGTGCGTGTCTAGAAATGATTTGTGTAAATGAGCATATGTGGTCGTCTGTAGACTACGCCAATATATATATATATATATATATATATATATATAAGGAAAAGAAGTGTATACCTAAGGGCTCGTTTTTCCGTGTTTTAACACAATATTAAATGAGATATAACAGACAGTAATACCAAGGAATGTATAGGGGAAGTTATTAAAACCAATAGAATGTAAATAAGAAGAAAGAAAAGTGGATGAAAAAATTACCAACTGTGAGCAGGAATCGAACCTACGACCTGCGAATATATATATATATATATATATATATATATATATATATATATATATATATATTAAAAACACGAGACACTTTACAATCTCCCACAACACGTTCCTTCGTTTTTGTGTTTTCATGATGGCCGGTTTCGGCTTGCACGCTTCTGATGAGGCCTAGGCCAATTTTTCACTGCTTCTTCTTTAGCCGAGTGGGGTGGTAGTCCCCAGAGAAAGAAGTTCTTAGACAGGCGTGTCTATGTACAGAAGACTCGTATGACAGAGCAACATCGCCTGGGAAAAGTTGGTGTCAGTGCCTCTCCATGTAGCGACAACCATTGAATCCCGCCGAGGACGACGAAGTTTTGCTGCGCAAGCGTGTGGCTTTCTTACACCCCGTAGCTTTAGTAGTGCTGAACCAAAGCGGTGAAACAGAGCAGAGCTGCCGATAGGGTTCCTCGATGCACGCGCCCCCATCCCTCGCCGCGGAGGGTCGAGACAACCGCGTCGTCTGCTACAGAGTCCTCCATTGCGATGCCTTCCCCGCAAGCCGCCCATAGTCCCGATGGACAGACAACGAGTGTTGCACGGCTGCACGCAAATTTTCTTGCGTCAAACGTGTGGTACTCAAATCACATGAGAGAAATACAAAGTTTTCGCATCGGCAGTGTGAAGTTCTTAGATTTCTTGTCTCTAGTTTTCGTTTTTAAAGCGACATTAGCAGCTGTAGTTGCTCGCAGCAGAAAAATACCGTCGACGCCAACCGCGTTAATACCTTCAATTAGCGTCATTTAGGACTCGTTGGTAACTATTTATATAGGCTAAAGGTGTTAAACACCCGCACCTAAGTCACATGACCTTTCAATGTATCTGTGTGTTGTGTGCCTTCCACAAAAGTGTAAAAGCAGTTTGCCGTTTGCCAGCTGGCTGAAAAAAAATAATGAAAGATGCGTGCTGTTGTGAGAAAAGAGAAAAATCACAGCGTATCTACGGAGTGAATGATGCCGTGTCGGGCGAAGCGTCCGTTCGTACGTCCGTTCATGCGTCCGTTCATGCGTCCGTCCGTACATGCGTCCGTCCATGGGTCTATCCGTCCAGCATATCTACGGAGCACAGCATAGCACGGACGGACGAACGCTTCGCCCCACTCATCATCATTCATGATGAGTGGGGCAAAACGTGCGTCCGTCCATGCTATCGTCCGTCCCTTCGTTCTTGCTTCCGTACGCCCATCCGTCCGTGCATCTGTCTGTCTCTCACTCACACTAGTGCCGCATACTGAGTCAGTCCGATAACTAGGTGGTTACGAACCGGTCACAGGCTTGGATGGGCGAACCCGCGGCTTTAGAAGCTTCGCCCATAAAACTGTGATTGCGTACCTTATTTTCATATATTGTTTTTGAACTATTCATTAGCTACCTTATTTTCAGACCACGCTCTGCAACGCACAGTATATTTTACCTCGTTTTCATCTCTTTTATCTTACTGCAAACAGCAGATTGGCAAAAAATTGTTGAAAACGTATCATACTATTTCTTGATCTACATGTGGCTTTTATGGCAATAAATCACGGCTCGCAGGCAGCCATTGACTGTCAAACCAAGTTTAGCGTGTTTTCTATAGGAATATAATGTAAATTAGCAATTTTTTTTTAAATTGTTCATTGATATCGTTAAAAAGAAGCGACCACACGGCTTTACAACAATGAGCAAGCAAATTATATAATATACGGCAATTTTGGATGTCGCAGCTTAATTCGGACGATGAATTGTATATACTTCAAGAACAAGCGGTATAACTCACTGCAAGTTAACCGCATCACATGTCTTGCTTCCACTTACACTAGTTCTCGTTGTTTCGAGCTGGCGCAGGTGAATGCGCAGCCTTACTCGTGCTTGATATCAACATTTTTTTTTTTTCCCGGAGAACCATTGTGTTGCTGGCATGCCTGCACGCTGCGCTTCGCTCTTTTGATTAAATATTCAGTTACAGCCTTGAGAGGGGACTTCGGGGGGAACAGGCTGTATCTCCGGGATGGGATTCAGTTTTCTTCACAGAATATGAGCGAGCTGATAACCTCACTGCTCGGATAGCTCGTTTTCATAATCCTAAACATACTGCTTGTGGGGATGCTGACACCCCCTGTAAAGGCTTGCCTTCCGTCAGGAGTCACTGCCGGCGCTACCGCTCTGCCAACCATGATGATGATAGTGGGGATCACCGCTCGCGAACACAACGCCACATATCGCTGAATAGTTGTCACCTCCCGAATTACGGCTTTTGTGTGAAACACGTGTGCCGCGCGACGCAAACAACTTCAAGAGGGGTGTCAGCATCCTCACATTTTTCAGTGCAGTTAAATATGCGTGTTAATGGCTCGCCGAGCCCTTCATTGCAGCCCTGCACTGCCCACAATTCGTTTTCTTCAAGATTCCTTCTACAACAAATCCACCTATATGATGCAAAATGCTGCACTCTATTGAAGTCAACGCTTAAACGAAAAGAATTTCCCCATCACCAATTTCTTCTTCAGCATATCCACCACACTCTACTTTCTCCTGGAAAATCATGTCAACCAGGTACTGTGAGTCATCATTTTCGTAACTAGAGTTCGCTGGCATGCGCAAAAGCTGGCTGATGCATACTAGCTTTAAAGCGCATTTCATGTCCTACGCGTTAGGAACTAACGCACGGATGGGCGGACAGACGCACAGAACGGGGACGGACGCACGGACGATTGAACGGACGAACGAACAGACGGACGCACAGATGAACGGACGCATGGACAGATGGAAGAACGGACGCACGGAAGCATCGACGGACTGACGAACGCTTCGCCCCACTCATCATCATTCACTCCGTCGATATGCTGCGACACCGTTTTTATTGACATGCATTGCGATGTGACGAAATTGGCTACTACGAATACGACGACACGGGACATACGATCCACGTGTGGTAAGGGGCTTTGTCCCTAGAAGAAATAGTTGAAGACGCTGGCACCAACAAGCGCACAACGTAGGCGCACATCTTCGTGCAATTGCAGCTTGTATACAAGAAGCGATTAAGAACGACGCATTTTGTGCTATCCGAAATTAGCGAGTGTAATACGCATGTACACTTAATGCGAATGAACGTGTATTGCACCTGGTGCACTGGTGATCGCAATTAAGCCTGATCGGAATCGAATTTCTCAACAGTGATTGGCGACCTTCTGCAGCTGGAGTGACAGTCAATTAATTCACGCTTTAACGCGATTGAAAGTGCCCGTGTGACAGCGCTGTACATTATAACTCTCGAAATGCTGATATAGCAAAACTAACGCTGCTCAAAAACAAATGGTCCTTGGATCGCCACTTGTTGCGCTTGGTCTTTACAAGCCACAAGAGTCGCCTTTGCGGATCTTTCGGGAATCTGAAAATTCTGTAGCCATTTCTCGAGTGGTTTGTGCATTGTGGCATGCAACACCCAGGCATTTTGTCCGAGAAAACGCCGCGCACGTGTCTCGCTCAACCAGCCGCGACGAGACGGGGAGAGCTGAATGGCGGCCGCCGATCAGAAGGCGGCACTCACACCATGACCTCCGAGATTGCGGGCATGCTTCACGCCGCGCGCCCGCAATCTTTGACGCCGTGCTCACCTCTTGAAAGAGTAGCTCCACCCTCCAAGGGAAGAGTGGATCCACTCTAAAACAGATCATAACAGATCCTAAAACAGATCAAATCATTCCCGCGCGAGAACTTGAAGGACTGCCCTTGATATGCTTAGAAAAAAGTGCTTAATGATTCCGAGTACTTCATACTCAACTATGGGAGAGAAGAGAGCTGTGCCGATATGTACAGATGAAACTTCCAAGGTTGACGAGGTGATCAAATTGATTGATTGATTAAAACTTTATTTTGGTCCAGAGAATACGCAGGGGAGACCCCGCGCCACCCTGCTAATTCCACACAGGGACCGCCAAGCCGAGCTTTGCGGCCCGAACACGAGAACTCTGGACGGCTAGGGTTTGATCGTTGTGTTTGGGACTGCGCAAGAGCGCTGCCCTCCTGTCCTCGCTGAAGGCGAAGCCGATGGCTTCACATTCCGACAACGTATGGTTGAATGTTGCTAATAATCTACAGGCCGGACAGTCCGTACTGGGATACTGTTCAGGGTAGACGGAATGAAGAACCGCAGGGTTAGGATACGCACTAGCTTGTAACAGTCTAAGGGTAACACCCTGCACAAGGCAGGCTGTGCGAGGTGGAATATTCGTATTGGTAGATAGAAGTGTCTTGTTATTTCGTTGAACGTAAGTAAGGGTTGCCCGTGAGGGACTGCGGAGATGGCGTGGTAAGTGAGTCCTCGCATGGTCTCGCGTTCACCCTCGTTAGGGTTAGCGGTCGATCCCAGGCGAGCGGGAATGAAAGTGAGAGAATCGGGCGTGATACTCTTGACGCTTTGGAGGAGGCGGAGAGCTTGAGGGGCGACCATCCTGGTTTTGTACGCTTTCATAGGCGCCTTGGAGTCGCTGTA